ATATAGTAACTATAGTATATATAGTATATATATATAGTATATATAGTATATATATATAGTATATATAGTATATATTACTACTCACTATCTTAATATGGATGTCTGGCACTTCAAATTTATATTTTTACTCTTTGCACAGTAAACAAACACACAAAACTCCTCTTGGCAGCATTCTACATCTACTATAATACCATTCATCAAATTGCTCAAGTCAAAAGCCTTGAAATCATCCTTAACTCTTCTTTCTCATATTTGCAGTATATATCATACATCTAATCACTCCTCACCTCTTCTACTACATCACCCTAATCCAAGCCATTATCATATCTTGCCTGGAGTACATTGAGAGTCTCCTAGCTAGCCTCTCTGCTTCCTCTGTAGTCAGTTTGCCATTCAGCACACAAAGAAATTTTTATAAAATACCAATCATGATGTCATTCTCCTGCTGGCAAGGCATTTCATCACAGAATTAAATCTGAAATATTGGCCTTGACACATTAGGTTCTTATGCAATCAGGCCCATGGCTACTTCTTCATTTCCTTCCATTTCAACCTTATTACCTTTACCCCAACTGGGTGTGGTAGGCAGAAGATGTCCTTGCCCTAATCTCTGGAGCCTATGAATATGTTACTTTACGTGGTAAAAGGGATTTCCAAATGTCATTAAATTAAGGATCTTGCAGTAGAAGAGATTGCCTGGATTGTCCAGGTGGGCCCAGTATAATCACATGGACCTTTTTAAGTGAAAAAGAGACACAGGAAAGAGAGGAGATATGATGATGGAAATAGAGGTGACAGTCAAAGATTGAAGATGCTCTCCTGTTGGCTTTGAAGATGGAAGGGACCACAAACAGGTAGCATTCCAGAAGTCACAAATCTGAGTTTCACTGGGCTAAAATCATGGTGTTGTCAGGGCTGCATTCCTTCTAGAGTCTCTAGAGGAACAGTTCCCCTTCCTTACCTTCTAGAGGGTACCGGCATTTCTTGGCTTGAGGCCTTTTCCTCTATCTTCAGAGCCAACAGCAGAGTATCTTCAAACCTCTCCCTGTCTCTCCTTCCTTTTTCCACTTCTAAGGATCCTTGTGATTACATTGGGCCCACCAGACAATCCAGGATAATTTTCCCATTTCAAAAGCCTTAATTTAATCACATCTGTAAAGTGCCTTTTGTCATATAAGGTAACATCTTCAGAACTTCCTAGGATTTAAACAGTACACCTTTTGGAGTCCTTCATTCTGCCTACTGTATAACTGCATGAACTTATGTGAGGAACAATTTGGAATTTCTTGTTCAGTTCTGGGTCCCATACTTTGAGATGTTACCAAACTCATACTCCTAGAATAACCAATATAGTCACCTCATTTATGGAACAGCTGAACAAACCATACAGATTTATCTGAGAGAAGCTTTAGTACTGAACCGATTAGGGCACTATGGGAACTGTATTTTCAAGTATTGGCAGGTGAGGGGGTTTGCTTAACTGAATACAGGACCCTAGTTAGCCAGAAATTATAACAATAAATTACGAATTTTCAGGAAACTGCTATGATTCTAAATTGGAAATAAAGAAAAGCATGTTTCAATCATTCTTTACAAATCAGAAGGCAGAATCATGTAGTGTCACTAGATCATCTATTGTTTCCTGGATATTTTTCCTGTTTCCAGTATATTTGGTTTAATTGCTTGGTTATGTTAAACACTCATCTGCAGATCTAAGGAATTATAATAAAAAAAATCAACTATTATCTTGCTAGTCTCATGATGATTTGCAATATTCTTTAAAATGACGTAAATCACAGAGAAGGAAAAAGGTCTTTAAGATCCACTGCTTCAAATCTTTCATTCCTAATAAAAAGTCGGTTTTAACTAAACGTTAACCTGAAAGGCTGTGAGGTAGGGAAGGCAAACAGCGATTATGCAATGGGGGAAAGGTTTAGATTTTTCTTGAAGCTTGCAAGGTCCTAAGTTAAAATGTACTTAAATAACATTTCCGACCTCTTGACCAGCAAAACCAAGGAGTAGAGTAAGCCAAACAGAATGTGTCGAGGGTAAGACTGGATTTTCAGGTGCAACATAGGGTTTGGTATCCCAGACCTCTATTTACTAGCCGTATGGTCTTGATTAAGTAACTATCTCACCTTTTCGGGGAATTAATTTAGACAAGCGCTTTGGGGCATCAGCATTCCAATCAACAGCCGCTGTAGTAGTTAGGGTTTGGCCCTTATTTACGCACATTTTCGCAACTAGGAAACGTTAACATAAGTGTTCTTTAATTGATAAATCCAACCGCCAAACAACAGGTATAACGTATCGATCCAGAAACCATCCGCTAAACGTAACGGACTCTCTCCGAGACCGGAAGTGACTCTGCCCCTAACTAACATGGCGTCCAGGTAATTTCCGTTCTCCTCTCTCCAGTAATTGAGCTCGGCACTTTCTCGCGGTTTTACCAGACTGCGGGAGTTTAGCTAACTGTCTTCCAGGGTCCTCTGTGGGGGCGGGTTATGAAGGGGATTCTGCGCAGTGATTGGTTGCGGCACGATAGGAACGTGACTTCAGGTAGTTGGATAGTCCACGCCAGGCAGTGATTGGTTGTCGAGAGGCGTGGCGACTCGACCACTGAAGAAGTAGCCGCCGCGGCGCGGAGAGCCATGGGTCAGGCGGCCAAGGTGACAGGGTCCGGGGAGGGCATGGGTACGATAGCGACGGGGAGGGAAAGCGGCGGCCTTGCGAAGCTTGTCTGTAACTTCAGTAGATACGGGTTTAGGATCCTTCACGGAGGATGTGAACGTTGGCGCTGTGGAGCCCGGTGACCAACTCCGAAGGGCCGTCGAGGTTTTGTGCTGGTGCGGAGGGAGGGCAACACCAGTGCTTCCTCCCTCTTTTTCTGGGGTGCCAAAGTATGTGTTTCTAAGCCATGCAAGGCTGCGCTTGAGTTCTGCCCCTGTTTCATCCCCACACTGAACGTTTGAGGGACCACTTTTACATCCTTGAAAGGTGGACGAAACGCCAAATGCACTCCTGCGCCACAACCATCCGATGAGATGAGATGAAAAGTTCAGTCAGATAACCGGAAAGTACACTGAAGTCTGGGAACCAAGGAAACCGAGGACCCTCAGAATCACTTGTCAAAAATTAACACCTGAGGAGACAGCAGAATCCTGTGAGACCTGAGTGCTCTGAATGAGCTTGGGAAGTGATGGGCCCACCAGGCACTTCGCTGAAGACCTGGTCTCAGATTCATTTCTCCTTAAAATGAATAAACCTTAAGGTTCCTGGCTGGGGCACACTTCTCAAGACTAGCCAGTCCTAACCTTAAATAAGAGCGTGACCTGTTGGGGCCTGTCACTGTTGCTGCAGTATAAGCCTGGAAAGGTGTAGTGAGGAAAAGCACTGCTTATGGTTGGTCAACAATAAGGAACAAACAAGCGGTGCCTCGTGTTTTAGTGAATTTGGTGTTCCTACTACATTTTAGTATATGTCACAGCACCAATAGAAACAATTTTAAAGAATTATTCAAATGATTTATTGCATATCCATTATAGCTATCAGTAATGCCTTCAAGCCAGCATTTAGCCCTGTACAGTGTCTAGGCATAGTGGATGCAAGATAAACAGACTATCTTTGCTTCGTAAAGAAATCTAGCAGATAGGAAGATTTCGAATGGAAAATACAGTGTATTTTGTGACCTTATTACTGGCATTTAACCTCTAGAGGGACGCAAAAAAATACATGTCATAGAAGTAGAAGTTGACTCCTAAAGTTTGATTAGAAATTTGCTAGGAGGGAAAAAAAATTGATAGGTGAAGAGAGAAAAGAATATTCCAGAAAGAGGAAGTACTATATGGAAAGTTATTGAAGTGGGAAGTTGCTTGAAAAACTTTAATACAAAATAAATTAAATAGGATTCATTGCAAAAACACTTTTGGGAAGATCTACCATGTATAGAAGGTACTTATGGTAAGTGTGAAGAATACAAAAGTGACCAAGAAGTCTTTGAGGAAGTATGGGACCACAGCAAGTAAGCATTTGATTAACATACAGTGTCGGAGGTACCCAGTGCTGTGGTTGTCCCTCAGGAACATATAACCCAGACGTATAAAGGACAGGTAAGTAATGACTATCTAAAGAGAAACCCAGGGGTGCCTGGGCGGCTCACTTGGTTAGGCATTTGACTTTGGCTCAGGTCATTATTTCTTCGTTCGGGAGTTCAAGCCCTGCATGGGGCTCTCAGCTGTCAGCACCGAGCCCACTCTGGATCCTCTCTCTCTGTCTCTCAAAAACAAACATTAAAAAAATTTTAAGGGAAACCTGGTTCCGAAAATTTCCCATATACTCTTAATATTAATCCTTTATAAGAAAATTGAGACAGAGGCTGAGTAACTTGTCCAAGCTTAAAATAAATGTCTATGTCCTATTCCAACTGATCTGCCTGTAACAAAAATCCACTTTCCATATATGCTACCTAAATTATCTAATATAAGCAAATGAGGAAGAGAACATAATCTGTAACTTAGTTTTCTTCCTTTTAATAAAAAAATTTTTAATATGAAATTTATTGTCAAATTGGATTCCATACAACACCCAGTGTTCATCCCAACGGGTGCCCTCCTCAATGCCTATCACCCACTTTTCCTTCCCTCCCACCCCCCATCAACCCTCTGTTTATTCTCAGTTTTTAGGATCCACATAAGAGTGAAAATATATGGTATCTGTCTTTCTCTGTATGACTGATTTCACTTAGCATAACACTCTCCAGTTCCATCCATGTTGCTACAAAGGGCCATATTTCATTCTTTGTTATTGCCAGGTAGTATTCCATTGTGTTTATAAACCACAATTTCTTTATCCATTCATCAGTTGATGGACATTTAGGCTCTTTCCATAATTTGGCTATTGTTGAAAGTGCTGCTGTAAACATTGGGGTACAAGTGCCTCTATGCATCAGTACTCCTGTATCCCTGAGGCAAATTCCTAGCAGTGCTATTGCTGGGTCATAAGGTAGATCTATTCTTAATTTTTTGAAGAACCTCCACACTGTTTTCCAGAGTCTTGCACCAGTTTGCATTCCCACCAAAAGTGCAAGAGGGTTCCCGTTTATCCAC